CCCCAGTCGCGTCCCAGCGTACGCCGTCAGCTCCAGTCGGTGTCGGCGCCCTCCAGCAGGCACTGTCAGCTCCAGCCGGGGCCCAAGAGGCACCGGGACCTTCAGTCGACACCGGTGCTATCCAGCGGACGCAATCGGTCTCTACAGATGCACAACAGGCACCAGGAGCTCCATCCGACACCCAGCGAGCACCGTCAGCTTCTGCAGGCGCCCAGGGGTCAGCGACAACCGGTACGCATCGGTCACAAAATGACGAACCAAACTTGACCTTCCGTTTTCCCGACTTGGACAAACGGATTCCTCCCCCGACAAATAATCAGGCAGAGAGAAACCTGAAACAGCTTAAAGATGATTTACTCCGTACCTATAAGCACCACAAAACAGATCATGTCAATGTCACCCAGGATGAGATGTCGGCTTTGAGAACGCTAAAAAAAGATGATGCCATTATCTTAAAACCTAGCGATAAATGTAAGGGTTTTGTGATACTTGACAAAACTGACTATGTTGAGAAAGCTAACAACATTTTAGGAGATCGATCCAACTACGAACAACTGAAAAGAAATCCAGTTCCCAGGGTAGAGGCCTTGACTAAACGTACCCTAAAGCAGGTTACCAGTAACAAGCTTGATGACAATGTCATTCATGACCTAACACCTAACCATAGCCGTATCCCCTTGTTTTACGGGCTTCCCAAAGATCATAAACCGGGGGTCCCTCTTCGTCCCGTGATTTCAGCTTGTGGAGGCCCAACAGAGAAAACATCTTGTCTCATTGAACGTGTTTTGAGCCAATTGCTGAGATATGTGCCTACTCACCTACGGGACACCAAACATTTTTTGGACCATCTCGCTGACTACCAGCGACAACACACGATGCCAAGTGACATCATATTTTTCAGCATAGACGTAGTAAACCTGTATGGTTCCATTCCTTTAGATGAGGCAGTGGAGGCTGTTCGGGAAAAGTTGCAGGAGCATGTTACTGATATCAACATGTTCGGTTTGACACCCGATGACGTATGCACACTCCTGGACCAGTGTCTGAGGAATAACGTCTTTTGCTTTGACAAAGATTTCTACAAACAGAAAGTGGGAATCGCGATGGGTAACCCTTGCGCCCCTCCCGTTGCTATCCTCTTCCTAGACAGGCTGGAAAGACTGGCTTTACAAAACAGGGAGGCTAAGCCCGACCTGCTCTTGCGATACATTGATGATTACGGGGGAATCTGGACCCACGGGGAGGAAGCCCTGAAAGATTTCCTAGCGTATTTGAACTCACTTCATCCTACAGTAAAATTCACGATGGAGTTCACGAAGCAGGACTCGGGGGTCCCATACCTAGATACCCTGGTCTCTGTCGTTTCTGACAATGACATCACATTTCTGGCCACTGAACTGTACATTAAGCCTACCAACTCGGGCATAGTGCTTCATTTCTCTTCAGCTCATCCGTCGTCGACCAAAATTAGCATGGCTAGGAACCAGTTTAGAAGGGCCATAGCAGTATCGTCGAATAAGGACAGGGAAGAAAAGAGCGTGACAAAAATGTGGAATCTCCTTTCTAGCAACGGGTACCCTGAAAACGTGCTTAGGAGAACTCTAAGGGAAGCGAAAGCTGGGGGCACTAAACGGGGTTCTACAAAAGAGGATGTAGATGGCTTCTTGACTCTACCATATGTGGACGAGGAATTATTGAGCCGGGTGAAAGGTGTGGTGCGCAGGTCGGGAATGAACATCCGACTTGCTTGGCGAAACAAAAACAAACTGAAAAACGCGCTAGTCAGGTCAGCCTTCTCACCTCCTCTCTGTCCGGGTGCCAGTCGCGGGTGCTACTGCTGTAAGTGTGGCTTAGCAGGGAGATGCACGACCAAAAATGTGGTTTACAGGATCACGTGTACTCTCTGCAAGGAACAGCCGGCGGTGTATGTGGGAGAGAGCAAACGTCCTGTCAGACTGCGTTTTAACGAGCATGTGAGGAACATGCTGAGTGCGACTCCCGACACCCCCCTCGGAGACCACTTTAGAGTGGCTCACGGTCAGCTGTCATTAGACAGAGGGGCGGATCTACCACTTACGGTGGAGATACTGCACCAGGCTCTGGACTACCCAGACAGAAAGATAGCAGAGTCCATCACTATCAGAGATTCGGAGCCCTCCCTGAACGAACGTCTTGTGTCTTGGCCTATCATATAAGTGTGTAAGATAGCGTATGCAGCGTGTGAATTCGAGTCATCGATCGTATCGAATGTCAAAAAGTGTTATGATGAGTTATATGTCCTGATTTTATCTCGTTTTTTTATCGCTCGTTTTATGTATGTGTGTACGGTACATCGGAAACATCTTAGCATAACCAAGGATGTTCTTCCATTGAAGTCTTATGTAAACAAATACCGCGAGATGAATTTCGAAATATGAAAATAGGCTGCCGTCTGTCTGCTGTAACCGTTTTTGTCTTCTACATTGTTCTTTCTTTCGTTTGATAATGGTCTGTTGGCCGAAATATCACGTAAATAAAAAGGTGATTTTTCATTAATTTTGCTATAGATTCGAGGAAAAAGGTCAATGTTTTTCTTTCATATAATTGTATCTATCATGTTCCTCGCCAGAGCACTGGCAAACATTAATACTATCGAGCCCATTGTTGACCGCAGGCCAGTGCTCGTCCAAACTTTAAAGAACCCAGAAAAGTTAGCGAAAACGGAGCTACAAATTGAATTCCTTGTAGCATGCAGACAGTCGGGTGTTACTCCAAGATTCATCAGCGATAGCATGAGACCAGTTAATACAGTGTTTGAGAAGAACAGCAAAGTACAGCAATCATGTGAAAAGTTTATGAAATCTCTACTCAACGAAGCCATTTCCGAAGCTTTCCGACGAAGGGCTTTTCTAAAACGTGAAAGAGATAGGCTATTCGATCGTATTCGAGGATTTTTTGACGCGGACAAGTTTATTTGGGTATGCCGCACATGCGTACGAGTGTTTGACCTGACCATCGCGGAGAACAGACCTCGTCTCATGAACAAATATGACCGTCTCAAGCGAGAGGCTCATGACAAACTCGTGTTGATGACAACCGTTGAAACCCAAGACACAGCTCCTCGGGTGAACAACTTGTCGTCTCGCCCAATATGTGATTCAGGCATGAAGCTGCTGGCCAAGGGACCCAACTTTGCCATAACGCAGGATGTCACCAAGAAGATTCTGGTTGATGTTGAGAAGGCTATTGAAAGATTTGCTTACGGTAAGAGATGGAAGGATGAGATAGTTAGACAAGCACGAGCCAGACTACCGTCAGCTCCAGTTGTGGCTCAGGGAGCACCGTCAGCTCTAGTCGGTGCCGGCGCCCTCCAGCAGACAACGTCAGCTCCAGCTCCAGCTGGTTCCAGCGCCCTCCAGAGGACACCGTCAGCTCAGGTCGGTGCCGGCGCCCTCCAGCAGACACCGTCAGCTACAGCTCCAGTTGGTTCCGGCGCCCTCCAGAGGACACCGTCAGCTCAGGTCGGTGCCGGCGCCCTCCAGCAGACACCGTCAGCTACAGCTCCAGTCGTTTCCAGCGCCCTCCAGAGGACACCGTCAGCCCCAGTCGGTGCCGGCGTCCTTCAGAAGACACCGTCAGCTCCGGCTCCAGTCGGTTCCAGCGCCCTCCAGAGGACACCGTCAGTTCGAGTCGGTACCGGCGCCCTCCAGCAGACATCGTCAGCTCCAGCTCCAGTTGGTTCCGGCGCCCTCCAGAGGACACCGTCAGCTCAGGTCGGTGCCGGCGCCCTCCAGCAGACACCGTCAGCTACAGCTCCAGTCGTTTCCAGCGCCCTCCAGAGGACACCGTCAGCCCCAGTCGGTGCCGGCGTCCTTCAGAAGACACCGTCAGCTCCGGCTCCAGTCGGTTCCAGCGCCCTCCAGAGGACACCGTCAGTTCGAGTCGGTACCGGCGCCCTCCAGCAGACATCGTCAGCTCCAGCTCCAGTTGGTTCCGGCGCCCTCCAGAGGACACCGTCAGCTCAGGTCGGTGCCGGCGCCCTCCAGCAGACACCGTCAGCTACAGCTCCAGTCGGTTCCAGCGCCCTCCAGAGGACACCGTCAGCCCCAGTCGGTGCCGGCGTCCTTCAGAAGACACCGTCAGCTCCGGCTCCAGTCGGTTCCAGCGCCCTCCAGAGGACACCGTCAGTTCGAGTCGGTACCGGCGCCCTCCAGCAGACACCGTCAGCTCCAGCTCCAGTTGGTTCCGGCGCCCTCCAGAGGACACCGTCAGCTCAGGTCGGTGCCGGCGCCCTCCAGCAGACACCGTCAGCTACAGCTCCAGTCGGTTCCAGCGCCCTCCAGAGGACACCGTCAGCCCCAGTCGGTGCCGGCGTCCTTCAGAAGACACCGTCAGCTCCGGCTACAGTCGGTTCCAGCGCCCTCCAGAGGACACTGCCAGTTCGAGTCGGGGTCCAGCAGACACCGTCAGCCCCAGTCGCGTCCCAGCGTACGCCGTCAGCTCCAGTCGGTGTCGGCGCCCTCCAGCAGGCACTGTCAGCTCCAGCCGGGGCCCAAGAGGCACCGGGACCTTCAGTCGACACCGGTGCTATCCAGCGGACGCAATCGGTCTCTACAGATGCACAACAGGCACCAGGAGCTCCATCCGACACCCAGCGAGCACCGTCAGCTTCTGCAGGCGCCCAGGGGTCAGCGACAACCGGTACGCATCGGTCACAAAATGACGAACCAAACTTGACCTTCCGTTTTCCCGACTTGGACAAACGGATTCCTCCCCCGACAAATAATCAGGCAGAGAGAAACCTGAAACAGCTTAAAGATGATTTACTCCGTACCTATAAGCACCACAAAACAGATCATGTCAATGTCACCCAGGATGAGATGTCGGCTTTGAGAACGCTAAAAAAAGATGATGCCATTATCTTAAAACCTAGCGATAAATGTAAGGGTTTTGTGATACTTGACAAAACTGACTATGTTGAGAAAGCTAACAACATTTTAGGAGATCGATCCAACTACGAACAACTGAAAAGAAATCCAGTTCCCAGGGTAGAGGCCTTGACTAAACGTACCCTAAAGCAGGTTACCAGTAACAAGCTTGATGACAATGTCATTCATGACCTAACACCTAACCATAGCCGTATCCCCTTGTTTTACGGGCTTCCCAAAGATCATAAACCGGGGGTCCCTCTTCGTCCCGTGATTTCAGCTTGTGGAGGCCCAACAGAGAAAACATCTTGTCTCATTGAACGTGTTTTGAGCCAATTGCTGAGATATGTGCCTACTCACCTACGGGACACCAAACATTTTTTGGACCATCTCGCTGACTACCAGCGACAACACACGATGCCAAGTGACATCATATTTTTCAGCATAGACGTAGTAAACCTGTATGGTTCCATTCCTTTAGATGAGGCAGTGGAGGCTGTTCGGGAAAAGTTGCAGGAGCATGTTACTGATATCAACATGTTCGGTTTGACACCCGATGACGTATGCACACTCCTGGACCAGTGTCTGAGGAATAACGTCTTTTGCTTTGACAAAGATTTCTACAAACAGAAAGTGGGAATCGCGATGGGTAACCCTTGCGCCCCTCCCGTTGCTATCCTCTTCCTAGACAGGCTGGAAAGACTGGCTTTACAAAACAGGGAGGCTAAGCCCGACCTGCTCTTGCGATACATTGATGATTACGGGGGAATCTGGACCCACGGGGAGGAAGCCCTGAAAGATTTCCTAGCGTATTTGAACTCACTTCATCCTACAGTAAAATTCACGATGGAGTTCACGAAGCAGGACTCGGGGGTCCCATACCTAGATACCCTGGTCTCTGTCGTTTCTGACAATGACATCACATTTCTGGCCACTGAACTGTACATTAAGCCTACCAACTCGGGCATAGTGCTTCATTTCTCTTCAGCTCATCCGTCGTCGACCAAAATTAGCATGGCTAGGAACCAGTTTAGAAGGGCCATAGCAGTATCGTCGAATAAGGACAGGGAAGAAAAGAGCGTGACAAAAATGTGGAATCTCCTTTCTAGCAACGGGTACCCTGAAAACGTGCTTAGGAGAACTCTAAGGGAAGCGAAAGCTGGGGGCACTAAACGGGGTTCTACAAAAGAGGATGTAGATGGCTTCTTGACTCTACCATATGTGGACGAGGAATTATTGAGCCGGGTGAAAGGTGTGGTGCGCAGGTCGGGAATGAACATCCGACTTGCTTGGCGAAACAAAAACAAACTGAAAAACGCGCTAGTCAGGTCAGCCTTCTCACCTCCTCTCTGTCCGGGTGCCAGTCGCGGGTGCTACTGCTGTAAGTGTGGCTTAGCAGGGAGATGCACGACCAAAAATGTGGTTTACAGGATCACGTGTACTCTCTGCAAGGAACAGCCGGCGGTGTATGTGGGAGAGAGCAAACGTCCTGTCAGACTGCGTTTTAACGAGCATGTGAGGAACATGCTGAGTGCGACTCCCGACACCCCCCTCGGAGACCACTTTAGAGTGGCTCACGGTCAGCTGTCATTAGACAGAGGGGCGGATCTACCACTTACGGTGGAGATACTGCACCAGGCTCTGGACTACCCAGACAGAAAGATAGCAGAGTCCATCACTATCAGAGATTCGGAGCCCTCCCTGAACGAACGTCTTGTGTCTTGGCCTATCATATAAGTGTGTAAGATAGCGTATGCAGCGTGTGAATTCGAGTCATCGATCGTATCGAATGTCAAAAAGTGTTATGATGAGTTATATGTCCTGATTTTATCTCGTTTTTTTATCGCTCGTTTTATGTATGTGTGTACGGTACATCGGAAACATCTTAGCATAACCAAGGATGTTCTTCCATTGAAGTCTTATGTAAACAAATACCGCGAGATGAATTTCGAAATATGAAAATAGGCTGCCGTCTGTCTGCTGTAACCGTTTTTGTCTTCTACATTGTTCTTTCTTTCGTTTGATAATGGTCTGTTGGCCGAAATATCACGTAAATAAAAAGGTGATTTTTCATTAATTTTGCTATAGATTCGAGGAAAAAGGTCAATGTTTTTCTTTCATATAATTGTATCTATCATGTTCCTCGCCAGAGCACTGGCAAACATTAATACGGATGTAGCCTGTGTTAGGAGTCATCCTTTCCACCTGCGGATTGCGCCGTGGAGCCTCCGTCCCCCAGCGCTCTCTGAGGCCTGACGTTCTGCCCAGTCCCCAGTCCCCTGCAGAAACAGGGGGAGGGAGAGCCATCGCCCGTCCGGCGCGCGTATTTACAAATTGCAACCGAGCTCCGCCGTGGGGTAAGGTGGGCAGGGGTTTTTGCACTACGGCTGCGGTTGAACTACCGTCTGTGGTAGAAACTTCAGGACGATGGCGCGTTTCATACGAAATCTGGCGCAATGTTTGTTTGCTTCTTTGTATTGTTATTGCTGTGAACTCTTGAAGTGGGAGTGTTTCAATAACAATTTGTGGATTATTTGAGTTTCTTTATATAAACATAGAATAGTATTATGAAACATTTTGTGGAAACTGCAAATACTGATATGATCAATTACTTAGTTTGGGAATTCATACACATTTTGTAGATATTTGTCTGGCAAATGGTGTAACAAACCTCAAGCCTATCATGATCTGAAGCTGTTGTAACAAATCAAAATTGCTTTGATGTTACATAGTACCTTGTTGGAAAGACTGGAGGCTGGAGCATGGTTCAAGATGATGCGTAAAAATTCAAGATTTGTGCGAAAGCTTGTGACTGAAGAATGAAAACAGTTGATATGATGGCTCAATCAAACGTGGAAATGGACGACAAAAGTAGAGTTTCAACATTCCAGCATGTGAGAATAACTTCAGAAATTCATAGTTCTTGTAGTATTGTATTCTTCTTATGTACAGTTATTGGTTTTGATAAGGTATTTCAAATTCATTGTGTCAGTTGAGATATAGATGGATTGCGGGAAAAATTAAGAATCATTGCATGGTAGCTAGGTACTTGTTTGGTAAAAAGGTATGTGATGAATACTATGAGAAGGTTTTTTATGACTTAATATATGGTCGTTGTTGTACCTACAAAAATGCAAGCTTACTAGCAACTAGTTTCTGAATCAAATTGAAAGTATTTGCCATGAATGTAAATATGTACCTGCAAAGTATGTCAATAAATTTGTGTGATGTTGACCAGAGAGTTTTATCATCTGGGCATTTATGTCTCTTCTTTCATTAGGTGTTAAGCATAGTAATTATGGATGAACTTTGTGCCAATATCTTCAAATTGCACAATGTATGTAGCATGTCTACAACCCTCACTGATCCTGCTATAGCTATAGGCATTTGGCACCAGCTTGACCAAGGGCATGAACTTCACAGTTGCACAACCTTTTGTCATGTACCACCAGTCACTTTTTTACTTAAGGTGCACATAGCAGTGCACACAACAATGTGCAGAGGGCCTACACAAAAACAACATGATTAGTGTGCACTATGCACAGCATTGTACCCTGATTATTTGAATATTTTGACCACTCAACAGTCAACAGTCAGGAGATAATTATTGAATATCACATTTATTATACATCACTTGTCAAACAAGAGCATGTTGACACACATTTTGACAAGATATCATGGTAGTATTCCAATAAGTTGGACAGTCACCTCCCTGGGCGTCATTTTTCCAGGAAGGTACCTCTGCAGGTGTTGTGGTAGGCTAGGTTGAATTGGGTTAAGTTAGGCGAAGTAAGGTGGTTGGGACCAGGTCAGACCGTAAGGCTTGGTCAGGTTGATTTTAATTCATTCTAATTTGACATAGATACCTATTACCTATGTATTTGCTCCAGCCTGAATTTCATTAGGTAATGAGTTAATTTTGCTTTGTTTTTATCTGTCTTGGTTTGTGTTTTTGTCCCTTATATTTTGCCCCATAGGCCAGGGTGGAGCTTTTCCAGGGAAGGTGGTGGAGCATGATTGGAGGCGCTCAACCAGACGGCATAGATGCCTGAACGATTTGTGAACGCGCACTGATGCCTGATTCAAGCCACGCTGTCTTCATGCGGGGCGGCGCGCTACTTAAAAGTCCCTAAAAGAACGGGAAGTGATGCCGATAGAACCTTCAATCATTCTGGGCTAACGCTTATGACTTGGAAAAAGTCGCGATCCCAAATCCCAATTCAATCAAAAACCTGTGGGCTCTTGTTCAGCAGGAGGTATATGAAGAGCCACCCGCCATAAGCACTGCTCAACCGCAGGCACAGGTTTAGACGGCATTGGTCTGCATCAAAGCCAGTGTGCTGGAGAATTCATTGGCTGAAATGCTCCAGAACATTCACCACCATGGTTTTATGAAAGGTGGCTACAAGCTCAGTTAAAAAAAGTACCAGATTGTTTTGCTTTTTAATTACAGCGGGAAGAAAGGTGTCCGGATAATTTCGTTACACCCCCTGTAATGTTCAAATGGTTGCTAAATTCTAAATCAGCTCCAAAAACTAGCCTAAAAACATGTAAAACTCGAAAAAGGAACCGAGGTCATCAAAGGCCATTGAGCTGACCTGACCTTCAGGTGACCTTGACACCCACCCTAATGCATGGGACCAGCGTCAAATCACATGTTTCAACGCTTGAAGCCACGTGAAGACTGCAACCGCGCGGCTAATGCGAGCCGACATACGCCGAATCGCGATTCGGGCCAAACATGGTCTCGAGAAATAGGTCACAGGTCAAAGGTCATTTGGGTCAGGGTCATGAAATTTTCAGGGTAGGTGTAAAATTGATAAAATCGGGGGCATTGAAAGTTTTGTCGCGATCGGATGGTTTTTACGCGAGTTACTCACGAAAAACCGATAAAGCGCACCCAAAAAGGCAGAAATATGCACATGCGATATCCTATACTGCGAAAAAAGTGCATCATTTTTTAACGTCGGCGACAAATTGTAATTACCCTAAGCTCAGGCAGATGTATGGTAGAAAATCCCCCAAGTGAAATACACTACGGCGGAAATAAAATACCCTACGGCGGAGCTCGGTTGCAATTTGTAAATACGCGTCCGGACGGAGCGCACACGATTTCCGTACGGACCGGATGCGCCCATAGGGTTCTGTGTTAAATTCCGTACGGACCGCACGCGTTCCGCACCAGTGGACGGCGGCCTGGTATAATGCGTGAGAAAAGAAATGTCATAGAAGCTCAGCTATGTCGTCGAAGCAATAATGTAATGTAACTGAAAAATGTTGAAAGCGATCGCTAGCAGCCGCTGACTGCTTGGAGCAGATCATGAAGAGACAGATCCTAAAAAAAAATAATGATGAATGATGACTACCTACTCATTGCAGATAACGGATTAAATACAACTGCGGAAAGCATAATGATATACAAAGGCAATTGGAAGCCTTATATTATCATCTGGGTGACTGTCAGGAGCGGCGTGATACTTTCTTGTGTGTGACTGCAGTCTCACACGGAAGTCGGTTCTGTATGTGTGCTGCGTTGCAGTCCCCGGGTACCTTGCCTTGTTATATGGCTCTGCTTTGCCATGAACCGGCCGCGTGGTGCGGTCAACTAACCGCGGTCTCATTACAAACTCGAGAACACTTTCAATGTTCCAACAAAGCTTCCTTGACTGGGTCCATTTACTCACAACTTGGATCAACATCGTGTTCCCCATAACCGTGTTGTTGTGTTCCTTTATGAGATATGACCACAAAACAACCCCTGGCTTACGGTGTTATCAACCCATCTCAAATCTTTCATTGTAACTGAGCAGAGAACGTTATGTTTTGCACAGAAGTTGTCGGCACATACAATTTATGAAAACAGCGGTCCGTTAGCTGGTCCAAATGCGACCGTATGTTCCAATAGGGATATATTTTGGTAACAGTTATATTCTTAATATAAGCATATAAGCGGAGTGAAGAACATTCCATGGCAGGTGAATAAATCATACCTTCTTTGTGATATTTAATGAAGAATCTCCACGTGCAGCGGCTTTCTGTGTAGAAAATATTAGCCCTACTTAGATTTTCGTTAAATTACGAGTGATTCATCCACCTTACAAGTTCAATGTGGGTATTCACTTCCGAGCATTAATCTTCGTTACAACATTGCAACGCCACAACACGTGTATTTGGCTCGTTTGTGCGTGCCGCTCGTGGCTGGATCAATCAATCAGGTTCTGCCCAGTCCGTTCCACTCCCCGTTCACGCAGCCGGAAGCCGCTGTGCCCGACATATAACCGACGCCGGCCGGACGGAGGGTGCAGAGGGCGAACGGAGAGCACTCGGCACGCACACCCGCCGACGCGAGGGGAGCGCGGCGCACACCCGACAGGCACGGCGCACCCCCTTCGACCACTTCCTGTGATTGTCATACTCATCACCCGGCCGCTGTCTCTGGTAGAGGATCGCCGTCATGCTCAGAGCTCTGGTGTTGCTCTCGCTTTGCGCCCAGCTCTGCTGTGCCCAGTGGCACTACCCCCGGTACATCAAGCTGCCCGTCGGGAGAGGTGAGGGAATTTGCGGTGACATATGCAGTATGCATTCGTTCTCGAAAATGGGGAAAATCATGCTCTGAGAGGCATATGGTAGATATTCTATATATATATATATATATATATATATCGATATCGATATGTAGCAGCTTTGTACATTATTCCCAAAATATTCTACTTGCGAAATGGGCTCTGGCTTACCATGCGTATACTTTGTTTGGAAGCAGTTCAGTTGCGCGTCCGAATCATTATTCTGATTCGTGATTTGGAAAGTAGGTTGCGATTGCGGTCAGGTCGTGTGTATGTGTGTGTGTGTGTTTTTTTTTTACAGACAGCATCATGAAAAATGATAATATTTTGTTCGATACGTTGTTATGGATAGGCAGAGCGGCATGGTGCCGTATTTATTTTGCGTTTATTGATAATGTGAATTTCCCACGATGATTATTATACGCATGATATACCTATGTTGCAGACCCAGACACGGAATGCCTAGACAAGCAGATTTACAAAAGATTTAAAGTCGGAGAAGTATGGAGCTCCCGCTACTCGGGTTGCAAACAGAGCCACTGCATCAGGGAAAACGGTGTTCTGTTCATTGACAGATTCCAGTGAGTAAAGTGCTTTTGTTGTTCGTCTCCAGTTAGCGCATAGATATTTTTCAATTACATGTTGGATGGTATGCACGGTATTTGCAGAGCCAATGCCTCGTTTGTTTTGTTTTTTTTTCGTAAAAAAAGGCTTAACACTGGGCTCTATAGGAGGTAACAATTATTGTCAATGACGATTTCAAACTAAAGTTTGTCGAAAAGTTTTGCGCTGTTGTAATGTATTGCTATTTTTATTACAGCATTTGAATAATTTTACCTTACCTCTCATATAGTCGTTTGTCAGGATTGCTATTCTGAAACCCTACAATCTAAATGCAGTTTGTTTCGCTGCCTGGGCCAACTACAGTTTACATTACATGTTTATCTCGTTGCAGATGCCCCGCCGTGGCCGACAAGGTCGACTTCAAGAAGCTGAAAGCTGGTAACTTGTTCTGCAGACAAGCTTCGGGTGACCGACGCAAGTCCTTTCCTGACTGCTGTCCCAGGCTGGTGTGCAAGCATTATGTCAATGGCAAGCTGGTACCTTTGCCAGCCCATAAGTACCCGTATCTGTAAAAGTGTATAAGAACCATCAATCAAAGCATTCATTGATTGACATTTTCGGTCAAATTGATGTTGTGTGTTAGTGTTTAAATGTGATTGACTTTAAAAAAAAAAACGTTTGAGACGTTTAACTACGAGCAAAACCATGTGAAACTTTGGGAAAAGCGGACACTTGTCCGGACTCCGGAGATGACGCACGTAAACTTGCTGCTCGACATAGGGAACTGACCTCCTGGCGCCTCTGCAATGACGCTGGTATGTGCTGGCGTTAATCTGCTCGTACCATGAGAGCACTTGCACTAGAGGTGGCAAAAGATGAAAATTTTGGGAACCAGACTCGAACCAGACCCGGCTGGACATTTCTGGAACCAGTCGGACCCGGTCTTAGTTGGAATCGGAACCAGTTGGACCCGTTCCCCAAAAGTCAATTAATACAAACTGCTTGTAGGTATCATTAGTTGCATCATGTAAAACAGCCTATTTCCCACTGGGAATACTCATGAGCTACTGTGTGCAAAGAAACATTCACTTCATATTTTGCAATAATGTGTAGTGCGCAAGATGTATAGTTATGGTAGGACCCGGTTGGACCCGTCAGAAAATTTCCAGGAACCGGTCTGGACCCATATGGGTCCAGACTGGTTCTTTGGACCGGGTCCTCGGGTCCACATTTTGCCACCTCTAACTTGCACCAGGGTTGTGACTTACCAGAGCGTTGAGATATTTTGTCAAACGAACGCAAGTGCCAGAAATAGCATCGTCGCATGCCTGCACTTGCGACTATCTTGTGCAATCTCCCCTGCGGTTGCGGAGAAATTACAGGCTTGAAGCTGACAAGTGCGTGCTTACAACATGTTCGCTGGCTGCGTCTGCAGTGCATGCCGTTCTGAAATACCACCCACTGCCAAGGCTGGTTTGCTTGTCCTTGGAGGATTTAGTAGCAGCTGGAGCCTTTTTAATGCTACACGCTAGTGTTGAAGCATGCTTATTAAATTAAGTATGCTGTGAGGATATCGTCATAAGTGACCTTGTTAAGTAGCTTTTCCAGTACACCTACCTGATGATAATGCTAGTCGCTAGATTTCACTCTGTGGCTATTTCGCAGCATTTTTCACAGCCATTTTTTACCGTAGACAGCATTAAATATCTTTTTTTTTAGATCTTCTGTCATCTGTGAGGCGACTCCCTCGCCGGACCTACTGGTTTTCTGCATGCGCCCGGCCGAGGTGTGGGGGTGGTACGAACCTCAATATACCCTGGTACGAACCCCTCGCCGTTTTGTGCCTAATTAAGCTAGAGCCTCGCGGAAAAATGAGCGTGTGTGCATTGCGCAGCGATTGGTACCCGATTTTAGGATCTCAGGTCAACCGGTGACCTCTGAGCTCAGCCAAGCCACTTGCCTGCAGGCAAGGGTTCGGTTTTTGGTAAAAATAGCTTTGCCAAGGAAGGTCGCAGAGCCGCGATTTTGGCAGCATCGTATTCTCAATTAGTGGTGACAATTTCAGAAAATATGTGTCCAATCCGTCCAAAGTCTAATACTTACGTCCGCTGTCCGTCCCAAAATGTCCAAGCCAGCCATTTGTCCAAAGACGTCGGACACCTACGCAGTGGTTTACATTCAACACTGTTATTTTATTTGCTTAAAATGTACTAACTTACCACCTCCAAAGTGTTTATCATATCGAAACCTGAGCTTTCTATTCGCCAGTCAAGGCTACACACGATTACGACCTATTTAGTTGATTTCTCTTGAGAAGAGGATTGCATATTTTCGCGTGAAATTTCACGTGCTAGTAGCAAATTTTATGAAGTTTTGTTCGGTCTTGGTCTGGTCTCTGTATATCGCTCAAGATGTACACAGTGCAGCAAAATGTAGAAATGTGTAATTTGTATAATTCAACGCAGTTCCAGGATAGTTCTGCACGTCTGAGGGCCTGCACTATAGGGAAGCTCCAAAGAAGATAATAATTAATAGAATTGCTAATAAATTCAAAACAGAGGACACGGTTTAATGATAAATACGGCAGAAAAAAAAATGGTAAGCGAACCCCGGAAAGTTGATTTCAAATAGCGCTGAGGTCCCGTGGGCACCACACTCGCCGGATCTCAACATCGCATGCAATTTTTCCTCGGGGCTATGCAAAGTCCGAGATCTTTTAGGAGAGTCCCCAGGATATTATGCGACTGAAGGACGCCATTGCAAGCTTCTTTGGCTCCATTTCCTTAGACATGTGGTGCGCCCGCGCCATCGCCAACTTTAGGGCTCTGGTGCTGGAGTCATCCGTCGCCGAGGTGGCCATTTTGAGCATCTTGTCTAAAATGAGTGTGAGCTTCAAAGGAAAAGTGTATATGACTGATACAATACATGGATCAAAACTTCAGATTTGGCTCTTTCATATGGTGCTTAGCAATCGCATGTAACACGAAAGCATTTCCTGTAGTTTTCATTTATTTTCGGTCACACGGCTATGAATCACCCTGTAAATGCTGAGGTGAAGCAAGTAATTGTCCAATGTTGTCCAAAGCCTGCTGTCATTGTCCAACCAAATTCCGACTTGGACATTGGATAAACTCGGAATTGCGAGGATTTAAGTTCCGACTGACACCACTATTCTTCATGCTCAGAGCGTCGATTGGGATACTTTTTGTTCGGTTGAGGTCAATTAAGGATGTTGACCTCGGGTCAAGGTCAAGTCAGAGCCCCTGAAGTCACGATGCTGGTCAACTAAAGTCATATCGCATTTTTTGCAGATGTTCCCGAGTCAATGGATGGTTTTCGCGACTTGCTAGCTCAATTTGATCGGAAGTTATCGATTTGATCGGAAGTTATTGACGAAAAACTCATAGGTATGACGTTAGTAACGTCATATATGACGTTACGTAAGGTCAACAGTGCAAAATTGAAGCATCGGACCTCGCAAGGAGTGCATTTTATCACAGTTTCGTTTGCTTCAGATAGTTGTAGATCATTCCCTGCGCCGAAATCACAGTTTCCATATTTCCCCCATTGACTTATAATGGTGAGGTCACGTGACCGACCTGACCTCAGGTGACCCTTAGGAAAGTCCGAGCTATACAAGCTGTGAAACCTCTCGAGGATACTAGGTCCTGTAAGTTTCATCTCCCTGTAAAAGCTCCTCTGGCATTGAGGAATGAGGGCGTTCCGAAGTTGCGACATTTTAGGGCCATGCCGAGGTTCACTTACGACGTCATAGGTCATTGACCTGACCTGAACTGACCCGAAAATGCGGTTAAGTCACAAGATCCGGCTTGAATGGAAGGTCTTTTGCGACCTCCCCAGTCCCCATTTATACCTAAGTAGGTAGGTATAAGTTTATAATTTATAAGGAGAAAATTGAAATGCGCCTCTTTTGGACGAAAGACATTATAAACACTCCCAAACACTGAATTACAAGTGTTTTTGACACACTGAACATGAAAATGGTGTCCGTGATCCCTTCTTATGCCCCTGAGGTCATCTCAGGTCACGAATGGTATTTAACAGTTTTTTCGCAAATAACTTTTGATAGAGGCATACTACAGCAATGAAAACGCCTTAGATGTGTTCAGCTCGATGATACGGATCGACTGATATGCAACATGACCCTTTCGGTCAGGTCATGACTTTGACCTGAGGTCAAATTTTCAAGTGGACCTTTCAAGGTCAGTTAACTCATTCGATGCGTCTTGACGAGAGGAACACGATGCCGGTAAAAGTAAGCTCGTACAAGGCTTGGGTCAAAAGTTATTGCAGAAAAACTGTTTCCGAAAAACATCGGCTATTTTTGCAGTTTTTGCCCCATGCAGGCAAAACCGTTGACGTTAGGTCAAATCTTAGAGCATTATTCAGAAAGGGCGTTAATAGGGCTATTGAATGCGCTTTTCCGCGGCGTTGTAGCTCTATTGGTTCCCGAGTTATGCGTTGGCTTCTTGGAAATTGTCGACATTCGACCTAAAAATCGGCGAAATTTTGCCTTCAATGACCTCTGGTGACCTGACATTTGACCTTACCAAAAAGTGACTGAAGTGATTTCGTCATTATTTTTGGCGCTCTTTCGAACACCGCCTTCCGCGTATCGCTGCGTGGCCCAGGACTCATAACAGGACACATCAAGTCCCCCAATCTCAATAATTTTTTATGCTCGTCACGGCTACTCTGACTAACTGATTGCTTTGAAACTTCCCGCGATTGATAGGTACTTACATACCTAAGGGTGACACGATTTAGGTACAAAAAAATCTCGGAATGATATGTCAGTGAGCTGATGTCAGATAAATTTTACATCATCTCCCTCAATAAGTCAATGGAAGAAAACTGAGTTACGAGGCTTTTTTTTAGCGAAAGCCGTTCTAAACATCCTAAAACATACTGTGGCAAATCGGTAAATAAATAAAGCGTTCGGGTACGTCTCACTATGTAGATAGGTACGGCCTGGGCGTGACGAAAAACTGTTCGGGGGGTACGTCTCACCGTAGTGCATCCGTTGCACTGCCGTAAACTATTGACTGCTTAATTATTAAGAATTGATTGAAAATTCTTCTGGTGGCTCGCGCCTTGGAAGGTCACATGACCTCCCAAGGTCACCGAGGTCACCTGAGGTCACCATATTCGAAACGTCTGATTAAATCGGATACGCTGAATCGACTGGTGGTGTTTTCGTCTCGATCGGCCCAGTAGTTTCTGAGTTATAGAATGGCTGCCATAGGCGCGACCACGGCGCGACAACGGTCATGAGACCTCCCAAGGTCACTGAGGTCACCTGAAGTCACCATATTCGACACAGATGGTAAAATCGTGTACGCTGAATCGACTGGTGGTGTTTTCGTCTCGATCGACCCAATCGTTTCTGAGTTATAGAATGGCTGCAATAGGCGAAAACGTAAAATTGAACTTTTGAGGTCACCGAGGTCACCTGAGATCACCATATTCACAATTGCTGATGAAATCGCATACGCTGATTCGACTGGTGGTGTTTTCGTCGCGATCGGCCCAGTAGTTCCTGAGTTATAGAATGGCTGCAATAGCTGAAAACGTAAAGCTGACCTTTTGAGGTCACGGAGGTCACTTGATGTCACTATATTCAAAACAGCTAATAAAATTGTATCCTTTGATTCGAATGGTGTTTCGTTCGTTCAGATTGGTTCATTAGTTCCTGAGTTATAAAATGACTGCAAGGGTGGCGGTCAAATAGTGTTGTCAGTGGTGTTGTCGAATGGCGCTCTTGCGGCGAGCAGTGACGCTCATGTGGCTGCGCCACGGTTGTAATTCTCGTCTACACTCTACACGCAACTTGCACGCAACGCTGTATCTGTTAGGTATATCAGTGAATATAATGTTTTATATGTTGACTGAAGGT